GGTTGTGAGATAAGTTTAAATGGAAGCAACTATTTTTAGTCAAACAAATCAGTCACATTGATTAGTAAGCATGTTTTCAAAATAATTAGGGTTAATGACTTAGGAGGGTAATAAGGTTTTCAGTTTGTCCGTATTAGGTCACTAAGGTTTTTTTGTGCGTATTAGACCAATATGGTTGTTATTACCGTTTAGAAATAGTTCTTTTTACCCGTTAAAACCAGTAAAAGGATTATTTCTAAACAGTAATAACAACCATATTGGTCTAATACACAAAAAAAAAAAAACCTTAGTGACCTAATACGGAAAAGTTGTAAACCTTATTACCCTCCTTAGTCATTATCCCTTTAATATATAGAGTCAATGGTGAAATTACAACCGTTAAATGATGAGAAGAGAAACTAGATTATAGCATCTCAAACCAAATATATGAATAAAATTAACGGCATTTAAAACTAGAACAAAAGGTTGTGATTTAGTAGCTTTTAAATTTTTATTATTAAAAAAATATTTTATATTGAAATCATTGTCCTTTAGTTTTACAAATTAAAAACATATAACCACCAAACTAGGCCTGTCAAATCGGGCCGTCGTGTCGTGTTTTTGTCTGATACGACACGACACGACAAGGTTTTTTGTAACACGAACACGACACGACACGATGTCGTGTTTTTTTTCACTAACACGAAAACGAACCAATTAAAAAACGACAACACGACATGACACGAAAAGAATAACATTACATAATTAGTATTTTATTTAATTCATATTTAATCATATATAACACGATAAAAACGACAAACACGACAAACACATACTCAATCATGTCAATTTCGTGTGGATTTGTAAACACGACACGACACGACATCGTGTTTTTAATACTTGACACGAACACGACACGAAAACGAATTCGAATTTTGATTTCGTCCCGATTTCGTTTCGTGTCGTGTATTTTTGTCGTGTCGTGTCATAAATTGACACCCCTACAACAAACCATGTAGCAGAAGCTTTCATTTTTTTAAAGGCAAATACAAAAAAAAAAAAAAAAAAAAAAAAAAAAAAAAAAAAAAAAAAAAAAAACCCTTCGTACCCATCCAAGTTGCTGTGAGTACCCCATTGTAAATACAATAATACTTGGTGATTTGATAACTTATACAAGTAAAAAATATTTATAACAACATCCTAAAAACACAAACAAAAAAAGCACAAGCTTTCGTCTGAAAGTAAAAAGCTGATGATTTGATAATTTATACAAGTAAAAAATATTTATAATAACATCCTAAGAACACAAACAAAAAAAGCACAAGCTTTCATCTGCATGTAAAAAAGCTGGTGATTTGATAATTTATACAAGTAAAAAATATTTATAATAACATCCTAAAAACACAAACAAAAAAAGCACAAGCTTTCATCTGAGTAAAAAGCTGGTGATTTGATAATTTATACAAGTAAAAAATATTTATAATAACATCCTGAAAACACAAACCATAAAGGCACAAGTTTTCATCTAACATCCTAAAAACACAAACCATAAAAGCACAAGTTTTCATCTCAAAGTAAAAAAGCTATAGTTCTGGAAAAAAGGATCTCAAAGTAAAAAAGCTATAGTTCTGGAAAAAAGGCTAGACATGAAAAAGCACCGAATGTTGGAAAGTTGTCCAAAAGGCTGTGACAAGCAGAGAGCTTTTAGGAGTGGTGCCCACTCCAAGGGTAAAACAGGAAATGTGAAAATAAGTGGGTTTCCAGCCAACGGAATCCAACGATATCTCGTTACATATATAAGAAGAAAAGTGGATGATGTGACGTAATTTATTTTTCTCTTTTCATTAATAATTCATGTGGGCATCCTCATCATCAATTGAAATGATCACAAGCAATTTTGTCGTTGAAGCCAAAACTGTAAATAAAATGAAGAGTAAATTACACGAATAGTTTCTATGGTTTGGGGTAATTTAAACGTTTGGTTTGTAACTTATTTTTTTAACTCGGAATGTCACTACGGTTTGTTTTTGTTACGTGCTTGGTCCTTACAGTTTGTTTTTGTTACGCACTTGGTCTCTGTCTAATCTAAAACGACTATTATTTAAATAAGAAAAATTTGTGGGATAGGTAAGGTAAGGTTAGTGGGGTCGGGTTAGGGGTGTGTTTACTTAAATAAATTAAAATATCAAGGGAAAAATAGTATATTTAAATAAGACAGAGACCAAGCGCGTAACAAAAACAAACAGTAGGGACCTTCTGAGTTAATGTGGTTTCATTTATTTGGTGAAGTAAAGTTGTAAATATATATATATATATATATATATATATATATATATATATATATATATATTTATCTAATTTAAAAATGAATAATGATTTAAATATTTGATTAGGTGTTTAAGGTTATAATTAAATTGATATAATTTTCTAACATAAAAGCAAAATATTTTTTGGGTTATTATCAATAACTAAAAAAAAAGCTAGAAACAATTTTAGGAAAGTGATGAAATGATTTGTTAATTTATTATAGGGTTTAGGTCATTTTTGATCACTTAACTTTTGGTTTGTACTCATTTGGTTATTTAACTCTTTTTAAGGTTTAAAAGGTCATCAAACTTTAGACTTTGTGTTCATTTAGTCACTTAACTTTTTGTTTGATCACTTAACTTTTGGAGTTGTGCTTATTTAGTCACGTAACTTTTAAAATTATGTTCATTTAGTCACTATACTTTTAAAATCAATGATCTTTTAAAACTTAAAAAGAGTTAAGTGACCAAATGAACACAAAACCAAAGGTAGGTGACCAAAATGACCTAAACCCTTTATTATATGATAATAAATTAATTGAAAATGGTAAATTATCAATTTCTAATTAATTAGATTAATTGAAAATTAATTTTGGATTAATTTATATATATATATATACTAATTTACAAGTACCTCATTAAAAGACTTCATTCTGATTGATGGGTTTTTTCTTTTTAAATTTTTTTAATAAGTGAAAAGTGATTTTCTTTGTTTATTTTTTCAAAGATGATAAATATGGTCTTACATTGTCATCACTTTTCTTTACAGATCCCTTACACGTGTTATCTTTCTTCTACAGATTGTTGGCCTTCCACCAACTAACCCACACATTTTCACTTTCCTTCCCTTCCATAACCTATTCAAACCTTCCTAGAATACCCCTCTTCCACTGAGTTTTGACGAGGCGCTACTCTTCGGTGTTGGTGCGGTGATATATATGGAATTCCTGATATTTGCCCTTCATATGCTCAGTTGTCAGCTCTTGATTTCAACCTTCGATCCAGTGAATTAGGTCCTTAGTTGATTGTGATTACCTTCTTTCTGTCATCTGCTGTCTCCTTCATGTTGGTTACTTGAAAACCCATTCTTTGGTTTTGAAATTCAGGTATGATGGTACTTTGCATGTAGACACAATTTTGGCTTCTAAATTCAAATATGAGTTGTGTTTTCCCCAAATTTCCTTTTGGCTCATTTCTAATTGATTGCTACAAGTTGTATTAATTATCGTCTTAATTTTGCTTTCCAAGTGTTCGATGAAAGTACTAACTGAACTCTGTTGTTTGAAATATACTTTTTTCTAGATTTTCTTGCCACTTTGATTATGTTTGTGTTGAAGGTAAATTGTTTTGATTTAATTTTAAAATTTAAAAAACACTATATATGTTACACAAAACTAAAACAAATGTATGCGTCTTTGGATTGAAGATTTTTAGGGTTTGAAATCAATTTTTATTCATTATTTGGATAAAATAGGAAAAGATTTCATTTTTAAACTAATTTATCACAAACTAAACTTAATTGTTCATTCTTTACTTACGGGTTGCTAAAGTTGCTAAATCCCTTTAAGCTTATTTACTCATAAACATTTTTGGGTAGGTGTGGAAACAAATGAGGTTTTGGAGAACCATTGTGGTTGCTGGCATGATAAATAAGCCAATGTCGTTGCTTGTAAGGTACCTTTTTTTTATATCTCATAGATCAGAATTTTATAAAATTTGGCTTTATTTTTTTATAATTGTTACACAAATTATAAATGGTAATTTTGTTGCAGGTAAATAATCATTTATTGAAAAGAGTAATCAGTTAATTGAATCATATAGGAGCCCTAATTTGGTTGTAAGGTGCAAATTTTTATGAACCATGGCCATTTTCTGTTGTTAATTCATCATTCCATCTAGGAAACAACACAATATTAGTTACATAGATGAACTGCTCTGACATTTTTTACTGTTTAATTTTGCAAGTTCTTCTCCTTGATTCTTAAATTGTAGACGAGGTTTCAAATCGTTGTTGAATTACTTAGTTCAGGTATGTTACATGTATAAACAATCATTTTTATTAAGTAACAATCGTTTGTTTTGCCAATATTTACAGTTTATGACATATATTTTTCGTTCAATTCCTATTTTTGATGTTTTATCCTAATTTTGGAAATATACCAACAAGGAGAACGAAGCAATTTATACAAACCATTCAAACAACAGAGTTGAGTTAGTACTTTCATCGAACACTTGGAAGGAAAAATTAAGACGATAATTAATACAACTGGAAGCAATCACAAATCACCAATCGAATGCTCCAAATCGAGGAGGAATGGAAGATTTTTTGGGGGAAACATCAAAGAGTAGGACAGATCAAGAACTGAAATTTTGATAATTAGACTAAAGTTGATGGAATGGTGCTTGTGAGAGAGTTGCCTGATATATATATAATTCATGAAGGTAGCGTTAAAGGACACCAAATTGGTTAAATTTGCAATTGAATCGACTGCAAGTTGAGGGTTTTTTCTTCCAGGTTATGTTCGCTTAAACCCTGATTTGAGCCGCTTTTAACAATTTAAGCAATACATTTTCGTTTCTTCATCAGTGATAAAGGGAAATTTCGGAATACAAAAATCATTGACGGATTCCATTTCAAAATCCGACTGGCATGAAGTTAAGCAGAACTTGCAGTATCAACAAGCTTTAATTCCTACAATTCCTTGAAGTCCTCCCATGCATATTGGCTTCATAGGTTTGTTCAAATGGGGCGTTAAACATGGTATTGGCCACTACCATTCCTGGTAAAAATCCTTACTTTCTTTTATCTATAGACATCAAGATTGTTTGTTTAATCTTTAATAATACACAAATATAATGTATGAAAGACCCAATTTTTTATAGGAATGGAGTTACATATGCTGGAGAATATCTTGCAGACAAGATGCATGGTTTTGGTGTTTACAGTTTTACAAATGGTATAGATATGAAGGTTCATGGAATGAAGGAAGAAGATAGGGACTTGGAATGTACACTTTCAGAGATGGAGATACTCAATCTGGACAATGGAAAAATGATGTTCTTGATGTTCCAAGCTCACGAAGTTACACTTATCCTATTTCATTTGTTGCTGTTTGTCATTCCAAAGTTCTTAATGCAATTCAGGTAATTACTAATTATTAATTACTTCATTAACTTTTCTATTAAGTTTTTCATAATCTAATAAGTGAAAAGGGATTTTTGAATATTAAGAGGCAAGAAGAAGGGTGAGAAAGCATATGAGGTGGCAAAAGTTGATGAAAGAGTAAACAGGGCAGTGGCAGCCGCCAACTGATATCAAGGTAGCTTCCTCTTTATTTAGTTTTATGTTTTCATTTTGTACCTCTTAGCATCTTATTTTCATTTTTTTCTAATTAAGTACTATGAAGAGTTTGCTTAAAAAAACATAAAAATAGTTTTTTTATGAGTTTATATATGACTTTATAGAAAATATTACTACAAATTTAGGTTTTCATTTCAAATTAGACATATATTGTGCTTATTATTAAATGGTATTATGATTTCGTTCTAAGAGGTTTTTTTGGGTCAGCTAATTGATGGTTATAATAGTTAGACTTCTACATGTTGATAATGTTTCATTCAATGTCTGTTACAGTTAAAGGTTTGTATTATGTTTTTAGTTTTAAGTAAACTTATTTTGTGCCCGTCTCGATATTTAATTTAACTTTGATCTTGGTTCGTTGTTTCAGGGAAAACGATTAACATATGCTTCTCCACACCTCTAATCTGGTAGCTAAAGAGGCGGCACCACCACGAACCATCGCCAAGACTTTCTCTACTTATGTTTTATCCTCACTAGGTGGGGGACAAGTAATCATATATGATTTGAGAATAATAGGGGAGAATGATGAGAAATCATAATTTGTGATTTTATATGGACCAAGGCAATTGTGTCTATTTTCTTTGCATATCCAACCCTGCAAAGCAGGGTTCTTCCCTAGTTAGAATTAATTAAAGGTGCAAAGGGTGAATTGCAATAATTTAATTGTTAAACAAGGAAGATATAAACAAGAACACTCCAAGGCTTGGACAATTTTAGAGGGGATACAGAAGGGTTCTAGTAGCCTTTTTTAGCTGATAAGGATAGATACTTTGAATAGATTAAATTATATTATTTAATTATTCAATTTAAGTTTTATCATGGAGATCCACTAGTTATAAATAAGGAATATTGTTATCCATTTCCAAATTAAATGTCACTTACCTCTTTTTAAGTTTTAAAAGAAGCCACATTAACTTTTGGTTTTGTGTTCATTTGGTCACTTAACTCTTTTTAAGTTTTAAAATATCATCAACCATTTGGCTTTGTGCTCATTTGGTTACTTAACTTTTGGATTTGTACTCACTAAACTTCATTTGGCCACAAAATAAATGAAACCACATTAACTTTTGGTTTTGTGTTCATTTGGTTACTTAATTCTTTTTAAGTTTTAAAAGATCATCAACCTTTTGGCTTTGTGCTCATTTAGTCACTTAACTTTTGGTTTGGTCACTTAACTTTTGAATTTGTGCTCATTTAGTCACCTAACTTTTAAAATTATGCTCATAAGTTTGGTGACTAAATGAGCACAAATCCAAAAGTTAAGTGATCAAAACAAAAGTTAACTAAATGAGCACAAAGCCAAAAGTTTGATGACCTTTTAAACCTTAAAAAGAGTTAAATGACCAAATGAGCACAAACCAAAAGTTATGTGACCAAAATGGACCTAAACCCTATAATAAATTAACAAATCATTTCATCACTCTCCTAAAATTGTTTCTAGCTTTTTTATTTGCTTTTATGTCAGAAAATTATATCAATTTAGTTATGACCTTAAACACCTAATCAAATATTTAAATCATTATTCATTTTTAAATTAAATAGAAAACAAGAAGAAAAATATATTTACAACTTTACTTCACGAAATAAATGAAACAACATTAACTTCATTTTATTTACAATTTTGGCTTCAACAAAAAAATTGCTTGTGATCATATTTACTAACTTTGGCAAACCATAACGAATAGTCTTATTGTTCTTTGTGGTGGACCTAACCAGCACACAACCAAGTGTACCTGATCTCCTAGTCCTTCACTTGACTCACATATATACAAACATGCAAGGAATCAATCTTAATTTCCCAAAGCTGAAAATTCTCATTCATCATACAATACAAGTTGCATGATTCAAAGTTTCAATGCAATCGAAACTTGGGTGATGAAAATCTTTCCTTATTTGGTAAATTCTCGACACTACCACAAACGAAAGAATCAAATCCATGTTGCTTACAAATAGAAACATACAAACATCAATTTTCACATATGTCATTGCAAGGGGATATAATATAAAATAAACTCAAAATTTTATTTAAGAAATACGGAAGAAAACTTTTCCTTACAATGCAAATACAAATAAAAATTATGTTATTACAAATTTCTAAGCAATCTATCATAACTCTTAAGCGACAGCTCAAAAATACGATCATCAAACCGTGTAATTGAAATCCATCTCTTCGCAATCAGACTCTGCATGCCTTTCCTTTAAGCTTCCTTTGATCCTACAAAACATCAAAATGTAATCTTATCACATCATGTGTTAAGAATCTACCAATAGGAACTTAATAAAGTTAGACAGAGGACTTACCTGAAGCAGAGTCAAACTTTTTGATTCTACCTTCTCTTACATCTTTCAGGTAGTCTGTGCAGCTTCGCTTCCAATGTCCCTTCAAATGGCAGTAGAAACAAATGACTTCTTTTGCATTGGCACATCAGAAAATCCCAGAACCGACCATTCTCTTGTGATCAAAAGCTTTTAACCATGGCCAATTCCTTTCCTTTAGGAGAAGGGATTATTTATGGACTATCGATGTCATTGCCTATGTTCATGGCAACTTGGGGTAGTAGATCTTCCAATCATGTTTGCTTGATCATTACGCCAAATCATTACTGATTCAACAACAATTAGCAAATAGGCAAGATCAATAAGGGTCATGTCATGATCTGTAACATAGTAGTCTTTACCGAGCTCACTATATGACTTGGGAAGTGACTGAAGAACCAAGTCAATAGCCAACTTCCTCGGGAACATGACACCCAACATTCCCAGCCTGTCAATATGCAACTTCAGATCCAAGACATGAGCACATATAAACTTTCCATCTTGATGTTTCATTGCAAGTAGGGCTTGAGTAACCTTGAAATTTTCAAGCCTTCGATGTAACACCGTGAAATTTCTAAATAATTTTTTTCATTTTAATTTAATAAGAATACTCCCATCACAATTTTCAAAAACATGTATCAATTGTTTTTACATAAAACGAGTACAAATCAAAAACCCCAGAATCTCCAAACATCTCCATCATAAGTGTGTATTGATCATGTTGGCGCCATCTCGCGATCATCACTAGTACCTGAAACACGTAACACGCAAACGGTAGGCAATAATGCTTAGTGAGTTCCCCAAAATACAATGTACAGTACATACGCCTTTCCAGGCCATAGCACTATGGGATCTTCCGATCCAGGTGTCTCAGGGGATTTCCATCCCATGACTCTGTTGACCTTCCGGTCCATATCATCATACTCATATCATAACATATAACATATACAATATACATCACATTTACATCATACACATAAGACCTTCCGGTCACACATAATCACCCCATCAGGTAAGGCATAGTGAGAAGACTCACCTCAATGAAATCGGATAAACTCCCGTGATCAACGTCCCGACCTAGCCTCCTCCTATTATTCAAATAACATTCCCGATCAATACTCTCCCATGATCTCATCTCTACAGACTTGGTAGAAGGCCATTCTACCCTTCCCTGAACTCTCTTGTATCAGTCTTGACCAGAACCCTAAAGTTAAAAAAAGTCAACGGTCAACTTTGACCCGAGTCGTCGAGTGCACAAAGGTGACTCGGCAAGTCCACGCAGGTCCTCAGAATCCTTTCAGACTCTCTTGGCTCGTCGATTCTTTCTTCCACTTGACAAGTTACACTTATCACGAATCGAGGGGCAACCCTGACTCGACTCGTGGAGTCTGCTCATGGACTCTGCGAGTTCATTCCATGCTCACACTTAAATGACCTTTTGAGGTCAGATCTGTTCCTCTAATCCATAGATCTAATCTTCCCAAGCTCAATAATCACGTAAAGGTTCGAACTTGATGCTCATGCAACGTCCAAATGACACTACTTGATGATTTAGCCCCAAATACAACATCCTAAGTCCATTTCTTCCATAACTCCTCATAAAGCAAGATGGAATAGGTTCTCTGGACCACTATGGATCCAGATCTGATGTCTAAACATGATAAGGGACCATATTCCCAACAAATCAACCCAATAAAGGGTATAGAAAACCCTAGATCCATGGATTATTTAGCAAAACAGAAAAATGATCGATGTGCTACCTCAAGGATGATGTACTTTGCTTGTAATCCACAAATAAGCAATCTCCTTGGCCTCCTCTAAGCTGGAATCAACTTCCTCTTGCAAAACAAACCCACAAAGGTCCAATAATGGCTTCTTCTCTCTCACAAACGCTCAAGCACTATAAGGGTTTCTCTCAATGGTCTGGTAGCCGCAAATGGTGGCTATAAGGGTCCTTAAATAGGCCCCAAACCCAAGATATTAGGGTTTCATTAAACAACATGGACTCACCGAGTCCTCCATTAAATCAGACCAACACATGGGCTATCCACTCGCCGAGTCTGGGCGCCTACTCGCCGAGTCCCTCTCTAATATTCAATAAAAATACTTAAAATGAGATACTTGGGAATCCGGATGTTATAATTCTCCCCCACTAGAATTAGACGTCGCCCTTGAAGTCTCGCTCCACAAACAATTCTGGATACTGCTCCCACATCTCTAACTTCGGCTCCCAAGTCAGCTCGGACCCCTTCCGATGTTGCCACTGGACCTGAACCAGGGACACCTCCTTATTCCTCAGAACCTTGATTCTCCTATATCGGATCGCAATCGACCTCTCAACATAGTTTAGGCTCGCATCCACCTGAATGTCCTCCAATGGAACCACAACTGACTCATCGACAATACACTTCCTCAACTGAGACACATGGAAGGTATCATGAATATGACTCAGCTCGGCAGGTAGCTCCAAACGATACGCTACTTTGCCCACCCTAGCTATCACACTGAATGGACCGATATATCGAGGTCCCAACTTGCCTTTCTTCCTGAATCGAATCACAACTTTCCAAGGTGATACCTTTAGGAGAACGAAATCACCAACCTGAAACTCGAGATCTGAGCGACGCCTATCAGCGTAACTCTTCTGGCGACTCTGGGTCATCAGCAACCTCTGCCTGACCTGTTGAATCTGCTTAGTCGTCTAGAGTACTATCTCCGTACTACCCATCACCCGCTACCCTACCTCTCCCCAATAAATGGGAGTCCGACACCTCCTTCCATACAACAACTCGAAGGGAGGCATACCGATGCTCGAATGGTGGCTGTTGTTATAGGAAAACTCAGCCAAAGGTAGATACGTGTCCCAACTTCCTCCGAAGTCTAATACACATGCCCGAAGCATGTCCTCGAGTGTCTGGATAGTCCGCTCACTCTGACCGTCGGTCTGAGGGTGATAAGCAGTGCTGAAATGCAACCTCGTACCCAACTCCTCACGAAACTTCTTCCAGAACCTTGAAGTAAAACGTACATCTCGAGCTGACATAATCGAAATTGGCACCCCATGCCAAGACACCACCTCCTTCACATACATTTCTGCCAAATTCTCTGCAGAAGAACTCTCATTGATAGCAAGGAAGTGATCACTTTTCATCAATCGATTCACAATCACCCAAATTGCATCGACACCCCTTGGGGTTCTTGGCAGTTTGGTGAT